TGATGTAACTGTTGGGGGTGGACATTCATTCTGAATCGGATTCAACTGCAGACATGGATCCCTTGGTTTGCCATAACATTTAGAACTCGGAGCCTGAGAGGGTGGAAGACGACTTGTGGATCCTGGAACAATGACTTGGAGCAGGGCTCAAAATCTCCACTCGCCCGCTCGCATTTGGCGAGTGGAAATAAAGAGAGGGCGAGTGGAAATTCAGTCAGGTACGCGATCCGCTCCTTGCAGCCGCTCCTTGCCGTCCTGTCCTGGCTCCGTTACTTTCGATCGATCACCGGAGCTAGGAGGAATAAAAGAAACATTTAAATGCAGGATAGGAAGGTGTCGAACTGCAAGGTTGATCGCTATATTTGTGTAGCTGAGGTAAGCAAGTACTCTCAAACACCTTTTTAATGGTTTTATTTAATAGGAGCCAAAAAGAAGGTCTCCCACAAAGGGTAGTTTGTAAAGGGTAATTTGTTGCTCTGCCGACTAGCACTTAAGCCAGATCACATAAACACGGAAAGTATCCAGCATCCTGTCACACAAGTTCAATGCGAACGGTCATCTGGTCAACGCAATCAATAAGCTGAATGTTAATACCAGCAGCCAACAGTTCTTCTTTGCAATTTTGGAGAATTTCTTGTCACCAGGGCCCTTAAAGGATGGCATCTTCTATAGGAATGGTCAGGGCTTTGTTAAGACAAGCCACTGGTGGGTTAAATTGTGGGAGTAGTCCATTTCTTGGCTAAAAATTGCTTGGCTCCATGTTTCAAACCTTGATAAAATCATTGAATAAGGGAGGGTGAATCATTTAGGTCTACAAGAAAAGGGCCCAGGCACCATAGTAAAAGGAACAGTGGAATCCTCCAAATTAAAAGTGGAATATACAACCTTTATTAGAAAAGAAATAGGTTCCTGCTGTTTTGGTGGAACTACTGGATGAAATGTAGCTGCTGGGATCTCCGTCTCCACCTCTAGGGAATAGAGGGGCTCAGTGTCCACCAAAGAGTCTTCAGGAAGATCAATAAGAGATTCAGGAACGTTAGATTGCTGGGGAATGTGACAGTGGGTGTTTAAATCCCCTGTGATCAGGGGGAGGAACAAGTTGCAAAGTCAAAACCGTGCTTTACAAAAAAAATACCTCCATTGCAAGATAGGAAGAGGAATAAACAGCTGAGAAATGATGTATGGGGGTTAGAAATAGTTGCCAAACCAGGCAGTCACAGGCAGAGATTTGTAAAAGGTGTTCTTGCTATTGACATGTGTGGTGTTATCATGCCAAGATGAAAAGAGCTCCGTGGATGTCTATGAGCCTGGCAAGGGATTTAGAAAGATAGCCAAATTATTTTTAACCATTTCAAGTGGCATGCTAAAAGAAGCCCAAACTTTCCGCTGAGAATCTTCAGGTAACTCATGCAACAGTTGGTGTCAAAGTATATGCATCTACAATCAAAAAGAGATGCACCAATTTAACATGCACAGAAAAAAAAAAAGTATTTGCTGTCCACACAAAGGTCAGGTCCTCTGGAAGAATGTACTGTGGACTAATGAAATCAAAAGATAGCAGACATATTTGGCGCAAACCGAAAACAGAATCTCATGAGACACATGGTAGTGCAAATGTTATGGTTTGGAGTTGCTTTGCTGCTTCTGAGCCTGGGCAGCATGCAGCCAAGTTATGGCTCAAAAACAAGAAATGGGAGGGTTATGGACTGGCCTAGACAAAGACCTGACTTAAATCCCATTAAAATGTTCTAGATGAGCTCAAAAAAGCTCATCCAAGAAAACCTTCAAACATCTTGGTGCTAAAAGGAATTTGCATGGAAGAGCGGTCAAAAATTTCAAGCTCAAAGAATGGTGCACAGTTATTTAAAACGCCTACAAAAAGTCATTTCTGCTGAAGGGGGTGTACTTACATTTTTCCAAAGCACTATTAAATCTAATGATATTAAATAAATGATTGGTAGGGATTTTTTTTCCTGATGGTTTTATTGAGTTACACCACCTTCATATGTAGGCACTGTCTGAATAAATAATTAGATGAATAATTAGAAATAAATAAATCAAAGGCTTGCTTACTCAAATATATTGAAAAAGTCAACAATTTCCATTGGGTGTATTTTGCATGACTATACACCAGCGTGGGTGCATCTCCAAAGCCGTCTCTCTGCAGGCTTGCAAGTAGAATGCTCAGCCATTGGGGCCTATAGAGACCTACCTTCACTGTAAGGCCACCTGTTCACTTCTACATGGTGAACAAGGTGCCACCCCACCTCCATCACCTCTCCCCTCTGGGTGCCCAGGACCTCCATCACAAAGGGCAGGAGATCAGTATATGGTTGCAGAATGAACCTGGATGTTCTCAACTCTGAACACTTCTGAGTTAAGATCTGTGAAACCCCAGCCCCTTTGTCCAGGGAAGAAGCTGATCCGGCCCAATCTTAGTTGACATTGGTGGTCCAATAGATGTCTAAGATTCCTTATAGAAGAAATCTCACCTATTTCACAGTTCAATTCCGACAGTGTAAATTGTTCTCGATTTACAGCTTTTACTGTCCCTGCAATTTCCGAAAACAATCTGTCACAAAAATGCAGAAGGAGGGGTGTTATTTTGTGTCTGGAAAACAGTGAGACAAGTGCTGTACATCAAGAGGCCCTCCTCTTTTGCATAGCGTGGTGGGGAATAGAGGGGGGCGTGCTGTCCCCGTCGGGATCTCGGATTCTGCTGCACAGAGAAGCATGGGATAAAAAGCAACACACACTGTGGGAGTTGGGTTACTAAGCAAGGTGAGACTTCTTTAACCACTTAAAGACCCGGGTGTTAAACCCCCTTCCTGGCTGTACCTTACATTTTGAAAAAAAAAAAAAAAACTGTTTTCCTATGAAATGTAATGAAACATTTATTATCACCCCATTTTTTGATAAAACATAAAAGACCGGGTCAGGTAAATAGACACCAAACATGTCAACCCTTCAAATTGAATAACTAAATGTGCCGAGCTCCAACAATGATCAGATATAAAGAGTATAAAAAAACAGTGACTCAAACAAATGTCAGTGAAAAAAATCAATCAGGCGTAGTCTTTAAATCTTCATAAATCTGCAAAAATTTCCAAATATAGCAATAGTGATGAATATTTCTTGTTCCTTCACCAAATGCAAAGACTTTACACCTCATTGATTTTTTTCACTGACATTTGTTTGAGTCACTGTTTTTTATACTCTTTATATCTGATCATTGTTGGAGCTCGGCACATTTAGTTATTAATTTTTCATGTATACACACTCACAGTGGGTGTACATTCCAGTGCCTTGTAGCTGTTAGCTTGCTTATTGGCGCAGTTCATTTTCTATATTTATCAACCCTTCAAATTGCACGCGCCCGCAAAATCCGACCACACCGAAAAATGGCCAAAGGCGACGCTTTAAAAGGAGAACTATGAGGCGAGAGAAAAATCACTCAGCCTCATAGTTCTTGCCGAACTGTGACAATGAAACTGTCACTGTTACTCACGGCTCCCTGCAGGGATTCCCCCCTCCCCTGTCCATTCCTCCAGCGCTGACTGGCGGAACGGACGGGGGAGTGAGTACAGCTGGCTCTGCCTCTAGATAGGCAGAGCTAGCTGTCAAATCACACAGCTGGGTGGATCTCGACAGTGATGTCGGGATCTGTCCCGGCTGCGGCGGTCTTAGCATACCGCGAGCTGTAGCTCACTATATACTGAGCTTTGGGTGACGGGAGGATGCTAGTTTGTGTCCTCCCGTTACCCTTAGGAGAACTATGGGGAAAGCCCTGACCCCATAGTTCTCCTTTAAATGCTTTTACTGCCCATCAGTTTAGTGTTATCAGTGAATAATGGCCCTAAATTATTGGTTGGACGCCGACGTTTGCGGTGATGTGCAACATGTGCAGCGCAAAAGTCGTTTTCACACATAAGCGCACCCAACGCATGTTTGCAGGTGTATGTGGGGGCAGGCCCGGATTCCCCACAAGGCTACAGAGGCCCGGCCTCTGGGCGGCAGGGCGCAGAGGGGCGGCAGCGGTGTCCAATATAAATCCTATATAATAATAACAGCCCTTCAGAAATCCATGTTGGTTTTTACTTATGATACCATTATCATAAGTAGATTTTTGAATACAGTCCCTTATCATTCCCTCAAATATTTTGCATACTACTGATGTTAGCTGACTGGCTAATAATTACCATGTGTAAATCTTGTCCCTTTCTTGAATACTGGTACCACATCTGCTTTCTGTCAGTCAGTACCATTCCTGTAGTTAAAGTGTCAGTAAAGATTAGAACAGTGGTCTGGTTATGACCTGGCTAAGAGGACTCGCATGTAAACCACCAGTCCTGGAGATTGTTCACACTCAGTTTTAATACCCCTGAAGCTGATTTCCTTCCCTTAGAAATAAAACAGTTCCAAGTCTTATTTCTTCTTCTGTTTACAGTAGGTGGGGGTCTCCAGGTGTCCCTGTCACTGCGTGTGTGACATGGACACTTTCTAGAGGTAGGGTCCTCTAAAGATCTAGAGGAGGAGTCACTTCAGCGAGAGGTGACTGCCGGGGACTGGTGGGAGCGGGCATATCTGCAGCACCGCATTAGCAGCTCTCTGCACTGCGAAACAGCCCATGCAAGGCATCTGGATGGCAAGTAGTATATGTTTTTTCACAAGGTAAGGAGCAAAAAAAAATGGAGGAGCAGTTAGAGGAAGGAGGTTTCTATGGACTTAACCCTTTCGCTGCCAAGGACGTATGGCATACGGACCTACAAAAGTGCTTCCAAGGTTTACCTTTGTGAATCAAGCCTTATGTATTACATTTTTGTTCTTGGATTTTGATACACGTTAAAGTTTATAACGTGTATTGTACTTTTACCAAGTAAGGTGTAACTGCACTTTAAATGTCATAGTTATAAAAGGTCATCAGCACATGTTGCCTGACTTCCTGAAAATTGGCCTGATATTCCCCACACACGATAGTTCATCAAATATGATATGCATACGTAAAATAGGTCCTGGATTGACCCCATGTTTCAGCAACTCTTCTTTGAGTTCCATATTACTCAAACTTCGTATGTCCATCTTCTGTCTTTTTCTGGAAGTCTCCAAGAGACAGAAGCTGAGGGGAAAAAAAAATTCTGTTAAAAGCAAATTGGGCAGAAGCACGATTCGCTAGGTAGCACAGACATAAACAAACACTGAAATATAAATGTAATGAAGAAACCATTTCAAATCCACTTATATAAAAGAGGATTGTTGCCCAATCTGGCCAAAAAAACAAAATGTAGGTCTGTTATCAGCCTGGGTTATCTGCACATATTAACTGGCCAGCTGTTGAGTTGTCTACTTAGTGCATAAACATTGACTAAAATGCGAGTGTATGTTTGTCAAGTTTGTATTCAGAATTATCATTCTGCATTGGAGTTTTCTGATTACTGACTTATGTCCATTTGTAGCTTTAAAGCAGAACTTTGGGCAAATCTTTTATTTACCCTTGCAAGAGTTAACTGCTCGTATTGGTCTAGGGAGTAAAATAAAAGTTATGCTCAACTTGATCCTCAGAGTTGGCTTGCTCTTAGACCTGTCCTTCGTTCCCCCCTCCACTGCAGCGATTTAAGGTCCCAGAGTCATCACGTTCTATACACAGTGTATAGGACCAAAGGACACATAGGGACTAGTGATGAGCCGAACACCCCCGTGTTCGGTTCTAACTCGAACTTTCGAACATGGAAAAAGTTCTAACTCGAACTTAGAACTCAATGCAAGTCTATGGGGGTAGAACTCAGAAATGTAAGCATATGAGGGGAGAGTCTGGAGGTAATGCTGTCACAGCTGGCTGGCTTGGAGAATTGGGCGAGTAAAACTGTTATTTTCCTCCCTAGACCAAAATGAACAGAGTTCTGCTTTAAAAACAGGTAAATGAAGAAAAAGAAAAAGTTCACATACAATCGTACGATTTTCGGCTGGTTTTCTAGCGTGCTCCTTAGACAAAAGACCTGCGACCGTACAGTAGAAACGGTCGGACGTCTTCGTTCACACTGCTTGATTCTCGTACGATCGCGGGATTTCCCGCGATTCTTGTACGAGAATCGAGCAGTGTATGGGCACCTTTATGGTTTTAAAAATAGAAACTGTTTAAATCACTGAATATAACCAGGCAAGATAATAGTCTAGTTGTGTCAGCAGCTGATGTACAGTTGAATAGTCAATACTTGCACAGACAGACAACTCCCATTATTTATTAATTTATTTTAAGGCATACTCATCACAGACTAAAGACTACTAGTAATTTTTTTTCTTCATAAAAAGGGGTGTTATATGGACAAATTTAAATATGTAAATCACTTTTATATATAAAAATGGCTTTATAAAAGTGAAAATAATGAGGACCGGGACAATTTTGGAGACACATTTTCCTTATGAAGGCATTTATGAATGAAACAAACTAGGATAATAAATCGGTCGCTATATGCACTAGAAATCAGGAATGCAACAATTTAAAAGATGCTGATTGTGCGAAAAAAAATTGGCTATTTATAGAATAAATGTTATTGTATGTTCAAATAAAAACAAGTCTAATGCTGAAAAACAGATTTTTTTCCTCAGAATCCATTGAAGGAGAGAGCGTGATAAATAAGCAACCCAGGGTTACACTAGCCGCATAAAAAACTGCATACCTATAACCCCCCTCACCTTATTTGCGGCTCTGTAATGCTGGTAACCGCTGAGCGGGCAATTCAAATGTTTGCGAACGTATGGTGTTGTACATCTAGTAGGAGGTGAGTGATCAGTTAATTATTCCTTCACTGTATTAAATCAGCACCTTTTATTGTTACTACACACTGTGCAATTCCTATCAATGAGGAGATGGCGATGAGCTGCATCTGATTGAGTGGGTTTGGCTTGTGGTCACATGGTGTTCACCCAGTCTATTTATTTGTATCTTATTTTACAATTTGTTAGCTCTGAGGAAGGGGGTATATCCCCCGAAGTGCATCAGCTAGCGAGGCAGCTTTTGTGGGGTCTGCCTTGTACCATTCACTCATATATTACCATGCGAGTAGTTTTTTATGTCAGTTTGTATGTTCATGGATCAATAAACGGCATCTAAGCAGTTTTCGCTTTTTCTATAAAAAAACCCAAAAAAACAGAAAAAAAAAAAAACCTTTACCTACAATGCCTCTAAAATGGCTTTCCCTTAATGTAAAAGGTATGAACATCCCCCCAAAAAAGAGTTAAGGTTTTCCGCTATCTTCGATCACATCAAGTAGACAGTGTGTTTGCAAGAAACTAATTTCTCCTCCACCTCTTGCCCCAAATATTTTGACGCAAAATATCCCCAGGTGTATCTGTCCACGGCAGACTCAAGACACAGAGGTTTCCTCATAGCATTTCACACAAAAATTGCTTTTCAGTGTGCTAAACAAATTTTGGATCCTGATGGGAGGTATCTTCTCATACAGGGTACAATTTCTGACTCATTGGTCACTATCCTCTCCTACTATGTACCAAACACAAACAAGTATCATTTCTCTCCTTGAAACCCATGGAAAAGGGATGATTCCACTCTGTGGCGATTCCAATTTGGTTCTTAATCCTTAATTAGATAAGTCGCCATTGACCACACCCCAAGGACACAAGGACTCCTTAGATTAGATGTAAAGCTATTAGAATCAACATTTGATCTGGCCTCAAGAACTTCAAGAGCAATTCAAGAGCTCTCCTACTACAGCTCACCTGGCTGCTTTTACCAAAGCTCGTAACGATCTAAATATATGTTTAAACATGGACTCTGAACGGGCAATGCGTTGGTCAAAAATCAAAAATGTTACGCTAAAGCGAATAAACCGGATTCCATGTTAGCCCAAAAATGAAGAGTACTAGATCCAAAACCCAGCCCAATTACCGTGAAGACTATGTCAAATACGATCGCCAGTAAGCCAATCAAAATTCTTGAAGAGTTTTGTTTCCACTTTTTTGAATTGTACTCAGAACCTGTGCCCCCCTCCCCCTCCCAGATATCCGCTTTTCACTCTTCCGCAATTACTAGACTCTTGCTCCCAAGCTTTGGATGACGAGATTACCGAAGAGGAAGTTGTTCAGGCTATTCGTAGTCTCAAAACTGGCAAAAGGGCGGGTCCAGATGGGTTTTTCGACACTCTTTTACAAAAAAAATTCACACTTACTTGTCCCCCAACTTGCTAAAATGTTCAATTTCCTCAAAAAAGGAATTATATTGATTGGAATATGTTAACAGCCAACGTGGCCATGAATCCTAAAGCCCAACAAAGATCCTGGAATTTGGTCGAACTTTCGCCCAATTTCTTTAATAAATATCGATGTGTGGAGGCTATCCTGGAGGGAGACAAAGCTACATTCGACTCAATATAGGGCCACCATGATACACAAAATGGTTCTCCCCTTCAGGTACTCATTATGGTATCTGGAGGGGGAACAACAGGGCTCCCTCGGCTGTCTGGCTATCCCAACGGGAATATCAGCTTCTCCATCAAGTGATGGTAACTAGAATGTCAGGTGCCAGTAGGGGAGATCATTGGCGAGTCCCTTGACATTAAGTAGCTAAAAACGATGCAGGTACTACTGTATGGAATATATATGATTGATTTGTGCTGTGCTGGAGTGGAGAGATCGAGAGGAGAGGCTGCCAGAGGAACATGCAGGACGTGCAGGGAGAGGTGGAGAGAAGATAGTCGGTGAGTCTTGACTAAAATAATTCTGGTTGAAATGTTGAATTCAGATTAGCCTAAATGGAGTTATCTGATGGGATAAGACAGGTTGCGACCACAGGTTGCGACACTCGCCAGGGGAAGGCACCCTCCTGTGCAGAGAGGTACACAGGAGACATTATTACATGAATGAGAAATTGAGGGGAGGGGGGGGGGTAGAGAAGGAATGAGGCGCCATGATGGTCCACGTACTCTACCCTAGAGTATTCCACAGCATAACATATTGATGGAGGTACTCTTACATTTGAAGTCTCCTAAGTGGTCGCAATAAGTATGAACCATAGGATAGTAATGTTCAATGTGCAACGTGTTCTGGATTAATATATGCTATTTGTTAAACATGGAAAACTGTTGATGCTCGTATGCAAGTCATGCTGTTGTAACATGACCAAAGCTTCAACACAATAACAAATATTTTGAGGAAAAAATAAATGTTGATGTGAAACTTCTGACGAAAATATTAGCCACCCGCGTTAACGATTTCTTAGGTAAACTAATTCACGTGGGTTTTGTGCCCCTAAGACAAGATTGGGATAATATACGCAAATTTATCTCATTGTGTTATCTGGCTCATCAATGTAAAAGGGAAATGTTCCTACTCTGCCTAGATATGAATAAAGCCTTTGATTCCATCTTCCATTGGCCATACATTATGTCGACGTTAGAGAAATGGGGTTTTGGTTCCGGTTTTATGTCTTGGATACGTGCAATTCACTCCTGTCCTACAGCTTTTTTGAAATATCAGGGATTCAGTTCTGCCCTCTTCAAGATAGAGCGTGGCACTAGGCAGGGGTGTCCACTTTACCCTATCCTATTTTTCTTAGCCTTTGAACGCCTGGCAATCTCGATTAAATCGGATACAGGAATAACAGGTCTATCAATTGCCGACTACTCACATAAAATCTCTTTATTTGCAAATTACATTTCGCTAACCTTGACCTCTCCACATTCTTCCTTACCACACTTAAATCGCTTCATTCAACACATTTGCGACAGTCTCGGGCTTGCAAATTAATCCATCTAAATCACAAGCAATGAAAGTGTCTCTACAGGAAGCTACAAAAATCACAATTACAACTACAATACTCTTTCCTGTGGTCTTCCTCCCTTCAATATTTAGGAATTAAACTCACCCCCTTGTATTCTACTCTTTATCAAGCAAATTACCCCAGCTTACTTCACCAACTTAAGCAGCTCCTGATTTCTTGGAAAGATTTTCATGTGTCCTGGAAAGGGAGGGTCCATGCCATTAAAATGTCCTTTCTTCCTAAGCTACTCTATGTATTTAGAGTCTTACCAATATCGGTGCCTTCACATATACTTCGCATAATCCAAAAGCATACTTCCAATTTTATTTGGGAGAGGAACTAAACCGCGAATACACACTCGAGTTCTTTTCAGGCCCAGACTGCAAGGGAATTTTGGGGTGCCTAATGTCCTGAGTTATTATAGAGCAGTGCAAATTGCCCCTCTTGTACTCTATCTTCAAAAACGTATTTGCCCTTATGGGTTTCCATCGATATAGTGGATGCCTTCCCCACTCTAATTTCTAATTTACTGTGGCTCCCACCCTCCTACAGACCCCCTTGCCTGGGTCCTGCCATGCAACACTCTTTAAGGATATGGGACTTGGTGAAATGTATGGGCCGTCTAATTTCTCCACATCTTCCGCTTCTGTCGCATACTCATTGCCCTCTTTTACCCTGGGATGGTTCACCCAAAAAGGTTTTCCTGGTGGACGACAGTTGGTTTGGAAAATGTATTCTACATGCTCACACCCCAGGGGATTCGTACCTTCACTCACTCAGCTCAGAGAATCATTCCAAATACCACAAACTGAACTATTCCACTACCACCAAATTTGTACCTTTGTACAATCATTGAGTTGTTTAGCTTCTCCACCCTATTCTATTACCCCTTTTGAACACAGATGTAGGTGTGATCCACACTCACCCGGCCTGATAACCTTAATCCAATCATCCCTATCCGATCATCTTTCACAATCCACTATGCTCTTCCAAACCAATTGGGAGGATGATTTAGGCTCCTCTATTTCCGAAACCAATTGGTCGGCAATCTGGGGGAATATAAACTCTTGTTCTCGAAATATCCTAACGCAAGAAAACTCCTATAAAGTATTGTTTCGCTGGTATTACACACCGTACCTCATGCACAAATTCTTCTCCTCTCAATCCCCTCAATGTTTTTGAATGTGTGGACATCTAGGCACCATGAAACATATTTGGTGGGACTGTCCTAAAGCTAAACGTTTATGGACCCGAATTTATGCTCTAATTAATGTAATTTTTAAGTGTGACCTGATCAAAGCGCTTCTACATAAACCCATAATGGGTTTACACAAAACATCAACAATGCTTGGTATCCAACATATTCATGGCCACGAAACAAACAATTGCTAGATCCTGGAAATCCCCTGAGCTTAGTTTTATGGAGGTTAAAAACCGCATTACTAGTGTGATGATTAATGAGCAACTAATAGCTATCTTAGATGATTCCTGTACTGAATTCGAGAAAATATGGGAGCCCTGGACCCTCTATGATAGTTCCTTGAACTTTGACTCGGTCCATCTACAGATTTGATGGAATCTCCTGTGAATTGAATTAAGTGCCTACCCACCCTATTACAGTTCATACCCATTTAATTCCCCCTTTTCTTTACTCTCCATGTTGTCTACTGCTCCCAATGGGCATTACTAGCACATATGTCCCTATTTTTGCTCACTAGTGGGGCTTAAATCTCCAGAATTGGATTACAGTGGTGCACTCTATTAGTGGTTCAGTGGTTTACTCTATTGATTCTATGTAGTCAACAGTCCTACTTGGTTGTTCATTCCTAAGTAAGCATGTTATATATAATCCCCACAACATTTTCTGATTACTTTGACTATGCTTTTTGAGTTATTTCAATATGTTTTCTGTTTTATTGTATTGTCTTTTTGAAAACAATAAAAAATATTTGTGGAAAAAAAATAAAATAAACAGCATTACACGAGGACAAGGCGCTGTTTGCTTTGCACGTCTTACGAGGAAAACTTCCCAGTGGCCTTTTGATGACGGCAACATGCAAACGATTGATGTTGGAGATGATTAGGAGTCTGCTGAGCGCTGTGGTGTGCAGTTATTTGGAACCACGAGTGTAATTTGGCAAAAGAAAACACTTTGCAGGTGGATTCCATTAATCCCAGAACCCACATGCAGCTCAGAAGGGATTACCAATGCCAAGACTGAAGTTGTCAACTTAACACTGCAGTATTATCAATTTTTCCCAGGAAAGGAAGGCGTTAGTCTGAAAAGTATCCAGGAGGAGGCCCAAATACTCCATGCATTCGATGAAATCAGACATAAAAATTTCCAGATGACCAAGATCCATCCATGTCCACAAAAGTCTGCAGTGTGAATACCACACTGGAGTTCAAGGCCAGGGAGGTCTGTCCTTGTAACAAAAGGTTGTCTAAATATCAAATAAATGGGTTACCCCCTAGGGTATAGAAGACCCAGGACCGGAGCAAAATTCTTTTGGAAAGACTCTTAAATCAAATTTTTTTTAAAAAAGGTCCACAAACTGGAAGCGCCTGTTGCCCATTGTGAAACAAAAAAGGTACCACTGTTAGAAAGAGAGGATTTGTTGAAAATACCCAATATTATTGTTCATTTATAAGGCTTGGTTTAGTCTAATTTTAAGATAAGTAAAGACATGGTATATATCACAACAGTTAACCTGTTATTACTTATGGAATTAAGGTTTGAACATGCAATGCAGACACAGATTTTACAGATGTTTATTCCAGGAATATACAAATGAGCCGCTGAACATGGCAGACGTGTGCTAATTCAGCTCATCTGGGCACTCGTGGACGTTTTTCTCCACCTACCTGCATCGCACACTTGTCCCCGACCTCATCTACCTTCCTGGAACCTTGCTTCCTCCCCCATGGGCAGGCAGGAGTGTGGGCTCCCAACGCTCTTACAAGACTCCGCGTTCGTCTTCAGCGCGGCCTGCCAAGGCTGCTGCTTCTGCCACGTGCACAATGGAGTCCTCCCCAGCTGTATCTGGAGCAGCCCTCTCCATCGATGACTCCCTCTGATCTGCTTGATTCCTCTCCTGGGAGCAGCGCTGCTTCTTCTCCAGCCCTGGCATCTCCTAATCATCTTAGAGATGCTCAACTTTTGGAGCGATTTAAAGCCATGCTGCAGGCAGAGCTCAAGACGGCCACAGACCAAATAACTGCCAACCTCTCCAAAGAGCTCAGGGACCTGGGCTCCCGCACGGACCTTTTAGAGACTAAAGTGGACGATACGACACCCGTCGTGAATGCTCACTCTGCCTCTCTCACCTCTCTACATATAGAACAGGCAGCGACTATCTTGAAACTGAAAAATCTTGAGAATAGGGCACGGAGGGGAAAACTTCCTATCCGTGGCATACCTGAGGCAGTGGAAGATATACAATCCAGCAATCCCGATAGACCGTTTGGAGTTTGATTGAATTATCCACTCTTGGCCCCTTCGGGTCTCCCTAGAGACGTCAAAGTGAAATTCACCTACTACCGCATGAAGGACGTCATATTCCAGGCGGCACAAATTGCTCATACCTTAGTGCTTCAAATACGAAATCTACGCTGATCCGAGTCCTATCACCATCCAGAAGCGAAGAGCCCTCAAACCTTTTCTGGCTACACTACATTCACATCAGATTCGCTACACTTGGGGGTACCCCTTCCATCTTGTCTTCCAACACGGTGAGAAATCGCACAGCGTATCCTCCCCAGATGAAGCTCAACATCTCGAGACCTGGGCCTCCTTTCTTCATCTCCGGGATGGCCTGGCTTTCAACACAGCCTTGCATCACCACGTTGACCCCCATCTGGACCCCGGTCCCTGCCAAGAGGCCTGTTCCCACATCATCGGATCACGCTTAGGGAAGGATGTCGGATCCTACTCACTTTCGTGATTTCGAGTACTGTCCTCGTGGCCTTACCCTCATTCAGGCATGTTGCCTGCTTCACTTGTTCCTATTGGAACTTTGCCCTCGACGTTCCTTGCGCACAAAACGGGAGAACTGCAGTACTGATCCTCTTCGGCCTTGGCCTCCTGTCATCACTGTGCCTTGCCCGTTGGTCTGGAGTAATCTGCCATGTTGCTTCTAAACTGTTACTACTATGTTTGCCTACAGTGTTTTTTCTGGACCCTAGAGTACTGCAAGTTTGATGTTTACTTTTACCCTGACATCCTAACCACATAGTACCCTTTCTGTTATATTGGATCACCTAGTCCTACTACCCCCCTATGTATACATGGATATGCACTCTGGATTCCTCTCCCCCTCCATTCCCCACCCTTGTATACACAATCAGCCTCCTTTAACATCTGCCTCCACCTTGCTGCTCACACCTCACTTATTTGAATATGTGGTTGCCTGTTTCTCCTCCCCCCCAACCCCCCGTTTCCTGTTGATAGGCAGAGCCAGCTGTCACTCACGCACCTGGGTGGATCTCGACAGTAATGTCGGGATCCATCCTGGCTGCGGCAGTCTCAGTATACCGCGAGCTGTAGCTCACGATATACTGAGCTTTGGGTCACGGGAGGAGGCTAGTTTATGTCCTCCTATGACCCTTAAGAGAACTATGGGGAAAAACACTTACCCCATAGTTCTCTTTTAACCTGTTCTCTCTTTCCGCAAATATCTCTATGATCCTGAAACCTGGTAAGGAGGACATGGATGTTGCGAATTACTGCCCAACATCCTTGTAAAACATAGCTATTAAACGTCTGGGGAAAATGCTAGCAGTCAGAGTGAACAAGGTCTTGTGTTCTCTTGTACACAGGGATCAAGTTGGGTTTACTCCCTCTCGACAGGCTGGAGACAATGTATCAAGCAGTGGTTCACTTGATACATCTTATCCAACAGAGGTCACTTCCGGGTCTCCTCTCATCATTGGATAGCTATAAAGCATTTGACACGTTGTCCTGGGAATACCTGCATTATACTCTGACGAGGTGGAATTTCAGGCCCTCCTTTTCGTGCATGGGTCTTCACACTATATCACAATCCCTCTGGGCAAGTCATGTATATGGGACATCTCTCCGACGCATTCCCTGTCTCACGAGGCAAGGCTGCCCTCTCTCCCCCATCCTATTTATTTTGGCCATTGAACCTCTCGCTATGCTAATTCGAGATACCCCTTCTATTGGAGTTGTGGAAGTTGCTAGGTTGCGGCATTCCCTTTAAACTCAGCTTGTTTGCCGATGATATCCTCCTATCTCTTACCCACCCTCTAATATCCTTGCCCTCTCTTTTGTTGTGGAAGCCTTTGGAAATGATGAATGGTGCGGTATTGGGGGGAGGCGCAAAGGCAAGGGCGGATCCAGGGGATGGCAGTGTGGAAATGTCCAGTTGATGGCGGAGAGGACCAAAGTGGGAGATAAACACAATGGAGAGGTGAGAAATCAATAGTGGTAGATCACAAAAGTGATATGTAGCAACTCACCGTTGAAATGGTGGTGACGCAATGTCATCGATGGGGGTGACAGTGGTGATCCTGGAGTCCTAGGTGTTTGTGGTGAGATGGATATGCAGGTCAAACGTTCAATTAGTAGAGGAACGTTCAGCAGCTGCTGAGTATCCTCAGAAAAAAACACAAACAGAAAAAATGGGGGGGGGTTAAGCGCTACCCCCAAGTGGGAAGATAACAGGATGTGGATGGATCAACTCGCACAAACAGGGAGGGAATGCTGGATTTTTAATCACACACAGAAGCAAATAATTTTTTCCAACAGTGGTTAGAGCTGCAGGCTTAACACAATAATGGGTCATAAAAGTATGAATGAAAGACCATGTTTGCTGCTTTGCTTCAGGAAAGCGACAAGCCGCCACCCAGGATGTAACAATACTCCGTGTGGAATGCATTGTGACTTCCCTCTGCGTTTCCAACCCCTTAGCCGTATAAGCTAAATCAATAGTCTTCACCAGCCAAGATGTATAATTAAAAAAGTGCCATAAATGTAAAAAAAAACAAAAAAAGTTTCCCTACGTTATATATGCGTGTATGACGCGCGTTTTGCGGTGTATGTTTTAACCGCTATTTGCAGCCCACAAAACGCGTGTCAAACACGCGTTTACGAGGGCTATCCGGCTGTATCCTAATGGATACGCGCGAAAATATGCCCCAAAGAAGCTCCTGTACTTATTTGGGCACAGGGCGTTTTTCAGCACGTTCTGACACGCTGAAATACGCCCAAGTGAGAACTATGCCCATAGGATATAATAGGATTTCACTTGCAGGGCGTTTTACAGCGCGTCGATCAGCGCTGTAAAACGCCCAGGTGTGAACCCGGCCTTAATGGCTCCAAAATTATTGCGCTCACTCCATTTGCAACATGTGCGGCACGTAGGCGCACCTGACGCATATATGCGAGACAGAGCACTCGCACAGCGGGTTTTTCAAAACACAGTCTTTTTTTTCCTTAAAAACGGTAGATAATCACGAAATCCAACATAAATAGCTTGCTGTAGCATATAACAGATAAGGGCTCACCAATACTCGAGTTGTCCCATACACTCACGGTGTCCCAGTCTTTTAATAAGTCTCTTTTGCAGCACTACTGCTTCGGCCTCAATCTTCAGGGCCACTGTCTGGTTCCTCCAGACAACGGCAATAACATGCCAATCCTCCCAATATCACGAACCCGCAGCTCCCTGCTGCACTGGCCTCCACACTGACTCCGGGGTGGAGCTCTCCTGACTCACAGGTGGGGCCCTGAACACATTCCAGCACACTCTTTGTAATGACTAGGTATGATTGTATGAATCTCAGCTGCGGAGTTGCTGAATTCAGGAGAATCTTGTTTGAGGGTACGGCTTCAGGGTCGAGCTCCAGGCGTCACTCTCAAACTTAAATCGGAGAGTTTGGAGCTCTACCATCATATGCCGCAATTTGTTTTTAGTAGGTACAATACACGTGTTGCCCCCAGGTTATTTCAGCATACCAGGGTAGCATAGGTCAGGTAAGGTTGCAAAAGAACAAATAGGCGTTTTCTCAGTAACGAAGTATCAACAGAAAATACAGTAACACTTCCCCTTTAACTGCTGAGACTCAGGTTTAAATCGGGAAGTCCATACAGCATGCAAGAACAGTCACTACAATTTCCTTAGTGAATACTAGCTGGACAAGCTGGTCCAGCCTAGTAACTACTTGCTCTTTTGATGTCCCAGTAAGGGGGTCCTTGAGGCTCTCACGTTCCGAGGTTCAGGATCCAGGTGTCAGCTGGCGTTCCCTTGCAATAGTGGAACGCCATACTGACCTCTCTTCCGGCCTTTTAAGGGGATGGAGCATGGGCAGAGCTACCCGCGTCAGAAGGCCGATGCATTCCACGCTGGATTTACTTCCCTCTTGCGTTCCACTGTTGAGCGCAGCCGCTATCATTACACTCTTCATGAGGGATGTGCACAATTAGGTGCCGGTCACTGACAAAGCATGGACCCAGAACTGGAGATTTCCTCCCACCCAGAGCTCTAAGAAATCTCCTGGCTCCAGGATCCCAACTAGGATCCAGAAAAGGCAGTTCTTTCCTGGTACCAGTAATGTCTTCCTGGAGCCACTCAGCCCCTCTGGCTGAGAACCCTGGGTGAATTTGAGGCCACCTAACACCGTGGTGATTGTCTACTGGACTAATACGGCTTACCCATTTACCGTTTTTTATATCTATCCATCTATCTATAGAAAAGCCAGTTTTGGCCTGACAAATGTTGCTGCAGCAGGTGCGTTGCAGTACCAGTCATTCAATGCATCCAAAATGCACCTCCCGTCCGCAGTGCGATTGCCCGCACTGGAATGTGCGGTACTTAAATGCCCTGCGTTCCAGTGCAGGGCAATTGCAAACAATGTGCATACCGTTTTATTCTGAAGTAAACTTTATGTCTGTAAAGCTGCAATTGTGTTTTTTATTTTAAATAAATGACGGTACCATTTTTTAAAATCCTATCCAATTAATCGAAGTTAATAATCGGCTAACTAATCGATTATGAAAATAATTGTTAGCTGCAGACCTAATACAGTCCCTCTAGACTCT